AGAAAAGAGAGCAAGACATCACTGCCATAGAGTACGTAGGAAGTCAAACTCCCTGTCTAAAATGACAGGCAACATCACCATCCAAGAGTAAAACCTATTATTCCTATTCTCCCACAGAGACAAATTGTTGTCCAATTGTTGACTATGTCGTTCTTTCATCTTTTAAAAGTAGAGCTCTACCAGACGTTAGTCAGGAAGGAAATGACAAAAATGGACTAGGGTTCATTACACTGAAGCTAGATAAATGACTAGAGAAGTGTATCTGCACGTTTTATTAAACAGTCTGGCCCAAGCAACACACTATCTTCCTGGGCTGGGGGAGAGGGGTGTAAGAGCAAAGCACCCTGGGAAGCTGGAGGACTGTGCTGTGGCTTCTTTCAGAAGGGAATGTGTGTGTAAATGGTCATTCTCCCAGGACAAACTCTCTTGGGAGCGATTTAACTTCGGTTGTTTCTGGTTTATTTTCCTCCTGGAGTAGCCATTTTTGCTCAGGTAGAAAAATCCTAAACATCTGTACAGTGGTGATTTCTAAATATGGTACAGCTTCTTTCATTTGAATATCAAATGTATTACTTTAATGAGATTATTAATTTTTCCTCTAGTGTTTCATTAAAGGGACAAAAAAGAACCTTGCCATTTTATGTGGTTTTCTGGTATCTTTTCTAATTACTGATTACAGCAGTATTACAGTATGTGCAATCATGAAGTATGCCTGTAACCTCTCAGCCATTCTCACAATAATAGATTGTAATGTGAGAAAGGGCTATAAATCTAGTATATGGTATATAAATGGAAGTGCTGGAGGTCTAGTATTATATATAGGCAGTGATTTCTTTTAAAAACCTAAAAATTGCTTTACTAAAATATATGCTTTATTATTTGTCCTTCCTGTTAGGAACCATGGGATGCTCAGCACATTCCAGCATTGTTCTCTGCTTTCTGTGGCCTTTTAGTTGCACTTTCTTATCACCTTAGCAGGCAAAGCAGTGATCCATCTGTTCTTATGTAAGTTGTCAGAAGACTTTTTTCCTCATTGATTTTTCTTTGTGGCATATAAACTACAATTTTGCACACAGTGATATTTAAATCTAGATTTCCAAATTCTGTAACTTTGATTCATCTTCCAGTGGAGCTATGTGGGGAAAAAAAGCTGATACAGAAAAAGTTTGCACAAGGACTTTGTATATACTGTTATCAGTGTTTTAGAAAATGCCCTCTTTTGGAGAGAGCGGTCAAGACACCAGCAATGAAATATGTTCTTACTTCTAGATAAATGGTATGAGAAAGGCTGTGATCCATAAAACATTCATGCATGTGTTTAATTTTACTGTCACAAGTATATCAGTTGAAATTGGTGAGATTATTCATAATAGTAATGGTAAGTGCTTGAAGCCTGGAGTCAAAGATCATTGTTAATGTTTGTTTGGTCACTTGTGAGAAACAGTTTTAGAACAGTTTTAGGTTGTGGTTCCTTCTAATGCCCAGGTATCCCAGTCACAACCATCCAATTAGACTAATCACTCATTGGTAGTTCTGTCAGTGGTCTCAACAGAAAAAACAAGAAATAAGCAAACAGAAATCAAACTTTTCAGCTTACCAGTGGGACAGTTCCCTGAAAATTATTGTGGTATGGTAGAGAGCCTTCATACCAGCTGTACATGATGTTCTACTAGTTCTATACATAAATAAAGGACTTTCACCAGGGCTGTAAGTCTGATCCTTTTGTTAGTACCAAATTCTCTGGGAAAGATATTTTTGTCTAGCAAATAATTTCTTAACAACTAAAGAGCTAACTAATCTTTAGGTCGGGTTGACCAACCCACAGCACATGTGGCAGAAGTGTCATGGGCAGCTCTTATGTGTGATACATGACCCCTTACACTTAATAAAGGGAAGCACATGAACAGAGGCAGGAAGGCTAAAGCCTCAAACTGTGTGGAGCATAGAAGTGGCCAGACAGAGAAGATGTTAGGTGTTTTTCCACCAGAAGTCAGGTTGACCCTTCTTTGGTACTTTAGCCACCTCAGGGCTTTGGATCCTTTCTCACATGGAAGCAGTTACAGGGCCAGGAAGTGTTTACCTGGCTCTTGGTGGTGACACCTCCCATAGTGGTATTCTGCCTCAGCTCCACACTGTAGCCAGAAGTTCAAGCCTTCCTCCTCCATTGGAGCACCCTAGGGCACTAACTGTATCAGGTACACCTCTGGGAGGCAGAGCTTAACTTGTGGCATGCTTACCAAAAAAGTCAGCTATCACTGCCTTAGGGGATGTCCTGGGGTCTTCCTGATTACCACAGTTTCAAGAAATGTGTATAAAAGCATCAGAGGAATGGTGTATACTATCTATGAAACAGGCCTGCTTTCCAGCAGTTGTCCTTAGTTACTTCCAATTGTCTTTGCCTCTCCATAGCTTTTAACTAGGCCTGTGCAAAGTGGCTATTACTCGCTTTGGATTCAGATTCAGCCGATTTGCAGGACAGTGATTCAATTCAGTGATTCAAACCACTGTCCTGAATCAATTCAGCTGAATTTGATTCGGAGATTTGGCCACCAAATCGAACAGGTACCATCCCCTGCTGGCTCTCCCAGCCCTACCAATGGCTGCCCCACCTGGCCCCAGCCTGCCAGCTCTTTAAAAAAAAAAAAAAAAAAA